GACTGAGTGCTTATCTCAAATGCTTGAGAACGGAAGTATGCTGGATTTGTAGTTTTACATATGTACAATGAAACTATCTCAGGAGATGGGACCTAAATCTTAATATGAATTTGTTTCATATGCAGCTTGTGCAGGTAGCCTGAGGGAATTTTTTTTTTTTTTGGTTGGTCATGGGACTTGAACTCTGGGCCTGAGCGCTGTCCCTCAGCTCTTCAGCTCAAGGCTAGCGCTCTACCACTTGAGCTACAGCGCCACTTTCCGTTTTCTGGTGGTTTATTGGAGATAAGAGTTTCACGGACTTTCCTGCCTGGCCTGGCTTTGAACCAGGATCCTCAGATCTCAACCTCCTGAGTAGCTAGGATTATAGGCGTGAGCCACCAGCACCTGGCAATGAGGGAATTTTATGTGTTATTCTTAGTGTGTCTGTTATGGCTGTGACACATTACATGAGATCAGCTATTGAACTTGGCATTGACAGCCACAAAATGAGATTTTGAGGCATCTAGGTTTTTTTTTTAATAAACGTATTTTTTTTATTGTGAAAATACTGTACAGAGGGGTTACAATTACATGAGCAAGATAATGAGTACACATCTTTTTTTTTTGGGGGGGGTCCGGTTGTGGGGCCTGAACTCTGGGCCTGGGCGCTGTCCCTCAGCTCTTCAGCTCAAGGCTAGTGCTCTACCACTTGAGCCACAGCACCACCTCCAGCTTTTTTCTTTTTGCTTATGTGGTGCTGAGGAATTGAACCCAGGGCCTCAGGCATGCAAGGCAAGCACTCTACCACTGAGCCACCTTCCCAGCCCCATGAGTACATTTCTTATCAAGCATTGTAGCCTCCTCCTTTGTTTCCCCTTCCCATTCCTTTGCATCCTCCCCTCCCCCCCCATCCCGCATATAGGTTTTGAGATTTTTTTTAATTTTATTTTTTCCTGAGATAGCTCAGGTTGGCCTATCACTCTCAATCCTCCTGCCTTAGTCAGGTCCTAAGTGTTAGTATTACTGATGTAATGCTGAAATTCCCAAATGCTCCAAAGTCTGAATTTTGTGTGTTTTGAGATAGGGTCTCACTATGTAGCCTAGGCTATCCTTGATCTTGTGATTCTCCTGACTCTTCCTCTCAGGTAGCTGGGATTAAGTGTGTGTGGGCTGGGAATGTGGCCTAGTGGTAGAGTGTTTGACTAGCATGCATGAAACCCTGGATTCGATTCCTTAATACCACATAAACAGAAAAAGCTGGAACTGGCACTGTGGTTCAAGTGGTAGAGTGCTAGCCTTGAGCAAATGAAGGTCAGGGACAGGCCCTAAGTTCAAGCCCTAGGACTGGGTAAATAAAGTATGTGCTGTCAAGCCTTAAAATCTAATTTTTTTGCCTGGCACTGGTGGTTCATGCCTATAATCTTAGCTACTCACTAAGGTCTGAGGGTCATGGTTCAAAGCCAGCCTAGACTGAAAAGTCCTCATGAGACTTATCTCCGATTGACCACCAGAAAACTATAAGTGGTACTGTGGCTCAAAGTGTAGAGTGCCAGCCTTGAGCAAAAAGAGCTCAGGGACAGCACCCAGGCCCTGAGTTCAAGCCCCAAGATCGACCTCTCCCTGCCCCCCCAAAAATCTAAAACTTCTGAGTCACAAAACTCTAAGTGTAAAGTTCTACACCTGACCTCATATGAAGGGTCTGAGGATGTTGTCATATTAAGTGTTTGCTTACCTTACATTGTTAGGCTCTGGGTTCAATCCCAAGCATCAAAAAACAAAACAAGAATAATCCTGTTCCCTCCTGTCCTCTGCTTCTGGTTGCGATGTATTTACTTGCTTGCTGCTGTAACTTGGTCATCTATGCCATAAGGTGATAACTCCAAAAAGTTGACTTAGATATGAGCCTGTGTTGTAGTTTGGACCTTTTTTTGGTGCTGTGTTGGGTGTTGAAAATAGGGCTTTGTGTATAGTAGACAAGCACTCTACACTCCCAGCAGTAGTTTATAGTTTAAGCATCTAAAACCTTTGTAAGTAGCGTGTCAGGTATTTTGTTATAAGGACACAAAACTAACGCATTTGCTTTAGATCTGCCCAAAGGAAGCATGTTAGTAATCTCTGTGGGAGGGTCTGTTTCTATGTTACAGGACATAAACAAAAACTATATACAGCTTTCTAGGTTTCTGTTGAAGTAATTCTACTGAATACAACCTTGGCATTCTTGGCTTAGCAGTCTATTGTTAAAGTATTTGCTCTTTCCTTTTTGGCAGGTGAAATGTCCCATCATGATATTCTGGATGCTGCTTCCCAGGGAATAAACGTGATCCTTTGTGAACACAGCAACACTGAACGAGGCTTTCTTTCTGACCTTCGAGATAGGCTGGGTGCTCACCTGGAGAATAAGATTAATATTATCCTGTCTGAGACTGACCGGGACCCTCTCTGTGTGATCTAACACATACATGAACATAAGGATGACAGTATATACATCATTTGGGTCTGAACTTGAATTCCTAACATGAGTACACAGTGATGATATCCTTCTAGGGAAGAGTCTAAGAGTGTATTATCATTTTTGATTGGTTAATTTGGCACAGTTTTATTGCTCATAAAATAAAAAAAAAATGTAGTTTAACATATTAAAGAACTTTCTGGGCGCAGTTGGCTCACGCCTGTAATCCTAGCTACTCAGGAGGCTGAAATCTTAGGATCACAGTTCAAAGCCAGCCCGGGCAGGAAAGTCCATGAGACTCTTTATCTCCAATAAACCACTCAGAAAACTGGAAGTGTTAAAGCCCCACAACCGAAAAAAAAAAAGGAAGAATATTTGCTATAAACTTTAGGAAAAAACTGACTGAACTGTTAAGACAACATTTTTGAGAAGTAGCTCAAGTAATTTTCTCAAGAGATGGGATGTGTCATCTTTGTATCTCACTGATCAGTTTAAAACATGTTTTAAAATTTTAGGTTTTGAAAACACCCCCAGTTACAGCTGGAGGAGGCACAAGAAAAGAGGCAAGTTTCGAAAGCTTCAAGGGGAGGTTCAGGTCAAAAGTGGAATAAATGGACTAGTAGACAGCTTCCAGTGATATGAGTATTGGGTTATTTATTCATTGCTCTTTTTGCTGGGCCTAGAGGAAGGTATAACTATGTGGATGGTAACATAATGAGCCGTTTTAAATAATTGAGGACAGGCATAGGGTACATGTAGGTTTTCTGGGGAGAATAAAATGTCACAAGGGATATAGTTTGAACAAATGTATTCAAGGGAGGAATTGAATAAAAAAATTTGAAAAAAACCTCAGGTTATTAGTTCATTATTGTCACAGTGGAAAGCAAGTGGCAGGAAAGGTATAGCCACGTAGCCTTGGATAATGTTGAAGAAAGCCTGTGTCCAGTAACTGAACTCACATTTAAGGTGTGTTGTGACTTCACCTCTGATTCATAGCATTAAGAACCTTCTAAAATTAGATGTTGTAGATTTCTTCAAAGTTCAAGGAAAGGTTAGTGGCTCAAAGAATTTATGATTGGATATGCCTATTGCCAAGTTTTGTGTGTCCAAAGGGTTTTTGGGCAGTACTGGAGTTTGCACTTGGGGGCTCAAGCATGCTAAGCTGGTGCTTAATACTTGGACCACACCTGCAGCCCTTATTGTACTGCTGTTACAATTTTCTTTGGTGCCACTATTGAGGCTTGAACTCAGGGCTCAACATTTTGGCTCGTGGCTGGAGATAAGATTCTTAACAAATTTGTCTGCCCAGTCTGGCTTTGAACCTTGATTTTCAGATCTCAGCCTCCTGAGTAGCTAGAATTACAGGCTCAGCTTATTGCTGTAACTTTCTTGTTTTTGTGATGTTGAGGATTTAACTCAGGGCCTTGTACCAACGAGACAAGTGCTTTTATCACTAAGATATATTCCCACCTCAGATCCATTTAATATTGTCAGAAGCAAGTTGGCACTACAAAAGAAGTTAGTTTTAGAAGTCAAGACATAAAACTGCCCAACCAGAAAGAACAATATTATTGACACAAGTTAATGAAGACTATTGGTAATTCTAAGCCTGGGAGTAGGGATGGGGGTTAGTTCATATCTGGAATCCTAGCTAATCTGGAAGATAGTGGTTCAAAGTCAAGCCTGGGCAGAAAAGTCCACTACTCCATTTCCAAAATAACAAAAAGTCAGGCTGGAAGCATGGGTGAAATAGTGTTAGCTTGAGCAATTGCCAAGGCCCTGAATTCAAACCCTGGTACTGGCTTCAAACAACCAAAAATTATAAGCCAGGTAGTAGTGGCTCATGCTACTCAGGACGCTGAGATCTAAGGATTGTGGTTAGAAGCCAGCCTGGTTAGGAAGATCCATGAAGCTCTTATGTCCAATAAACTACTCAAAAAGCCAGTAGGAGTGTGGCTTAGATGGTAGAACACTAGCCTTGGGCACAAAAAGGCTCAAGGCTCAGGGACAGTCCCTAGGCCCTGAGTTTAGGAGCCCCAGAATTGGGAGGGGTAGTTTGAAGTACAGTAATTCTGCCACAGACATCACCAGATGAAATTTCTTTTGAAGCATTTGAAGGTATTTTTGGTTAAAAACAAAAACGACCTGGGCCATTCTAGCTAGCTGCTCAAAAGACTGAAATCTAAGGTTTGTGGTTCAAAGCCAGCCTAAGCAGGAAAGTCTGTGAGACCCTTATCTCCACCTAATCACTAAAATGTCAGAGGTGGGGCTGTGGCTCCAGTGATAAGAGTGCTTATCTTGAGCAAAAAAAAGCTCAGGGACAGTGCCCAGGCCGAGTTCCAGCCCCAGGAATAGCACCAATATATATATATATATATATATATATATATATATATATATATATATATATATATATAATAAATTTAAAAATTGGTTCTATTCAAATTGGCTTTTTATTTTAAAATACTAGTCTATTGAAACATACTGCTTGCAAATAGACAAAAATTATTTTAAAAAGTAAATATTTAAGGGAAATGCAGACATTTGCATATCACCAGAGGTTTTATATATTTAAGTTATAAACTAGATTTACTAAGCAAAAAGGTACAACTCAGCCAGTTTCATGTTACCTTTGTGTTTTTAAAATGAGAGGGACAAATATAATTACATGTGCATAGACTTCTCTCCAGCAGAATACTTAGAAATCTGCTATCAGAGCTGACTAATGGCCAGGTAATGGGAAGGAAATTCACCTTGAGTGTCTTGGCACTACCAAAAACTTTCTAAAAATCATATAAATAACGAGAAAAACTGATGTCATAAGATTTTACTAGTGACATTTTGACCAATTTCATATCCAAGTGTAAGTGTATGTGCAGACTATAAGCTGACACAATGGCCAAATTCAGCCTGTGTTTTTTTTTCTTTTCTAAGGGGCTCACCTATTTAGAAGACTTGAAATAGTCACCTTAAGAGCAAAACGGAAATATCTTTCAGTCATTTTTGTGGCCACTTAATAACGAAATCAAAATTTTTCCAGTCAGCCATTACTATGCTACCCATCTGCATGTAATTTAAAAGAGAGGAATGTCCATTTACAATAATGACGTTTTTATTTTCTGTTCTGAAAGCAATTACTAAAATGCAATTTAGGATTATTGTCTGTAGCCTGGCTTCTCACTTCCATCATGAAAGCCAAGGTCCCTGGACAGTTAACCATACCGTGACTCTGGTCCATGTGCTTTCGGGATTGGGTGTACACCCTGTATACTCCTTGTACTTCTCCCACTCTCCCACCTCAAGTGTGGAGCCTAAATCCAAAAGGACCAAGCAAGATCACCTACTGCTTTTCCATCTACCTTTTCTTTCAGAAACAGAGATGGTGCTTAATTCACTCACCAGTTCCAATACATAGAGCACACTTAATAAAATTCCTGTCTTTGTACTTCCACATTCTAGAACAAGCATACTTGTAATCAATCAGCCCCAGAGTGTTAAAAGGCCCTCAGAAAATTAGGAATAGTATCTCTAGTATAAAAGAATTCAAAAACATCCAGTTCCAAATAGTCCCTGAGCACACTGTTCATCGCAGCAAGAAGTCTCCAGAGAGGTAATGGATGAAAGGCACATTTTTTTTCCAACTTGAGGACCACTGCATAGTATTAGAGATGGTGCACCAGTCTGTCTACTTATATGTTCTAACTGATGACTGCACCTCTCGAAATACTAAATCTTATAAGCTGATAAAAGAATGTTGGGGGTAAACCCACACTTGACTAGGAGTGGCAGCTGGTACAAAAACCTATGGAAGGTTCAGGAGTGAAAGGGCAGCCTCAAGCCTCCTCCTCTTCCTTCTCCAAGAAGTCAGTCAATGTTGCATTGTCAACAGGAATAAATAAATACTCTACTCCATCTGTTCCCTAAAAAATAAAAGAACATTCAGTCTTTGTAAGCAAAGTGTTTGAATCCTTAATTTCTTTGATGCAGTGTTTTAAATAAATGTCTTAAATATACAAAGCAAAGGGTACAGAGGCATATGCATTTTTAAAGTGAGCTATAGTTAAGCCACTTCATAGCAGAAAAAACTAAGAAGGTAGGTACAGAGGTCATTTATTTTCACTATGCTTTAGATCCTTTGAACTCCTGCTCTATTCTAACTCTGACACTTGATTTCTTTGTTCATTTTTTTTTTTTAGACACAGGTGTGACTCACTGTTCCCCCCCATACTTTGAACTACAATGCTTTTCTGTGTGATGTGTTTGCATGCATGCATGCTGATCCTGGGGCTTGAACTCAGGGTCTCATGTCTCACCTGGCCTTTTCACTCAAGGCTAGGGTTTTTATCAGTTGACTCACACCTCTACTTCTAGCTTTTTGCTTTTAACTGGAGATAAGAGTCTCACAGACTTTCCTGCCTGGTCTGGCTTCGAGCCTCAAACCTTTAGATTACAAACTAGGATTACAAGCATGAGGCACCAGCACCCAGCTGGGATTTATAAGGAGTATTTTGCTCTTCTCAGAAGCAGGACTCGTCTCTTCCTAAAAACCTCCAGTGGCATATTCACTAACTGGATCCTTGTGACCCATCATGGAACCTCAGTTTCATATTCAAGTCTCACTGAGTCAAATGTATTTTTGTGCTTAATAAATAATATAAACTATTCTTGGCATATAATGCATTCTTACCTTCTTTGTTCTTATAAGTTTGTGGTCCCTAAATTCAGTTAGTTGAGCGCGGAGTGTCAGATCACTATTAACAAGGAATGCTTCTCGACACTGCTGGTAAAAATCTTGAAAAGGAAGTCCTGGAGAATTCCAAAGAAATGTCAATATAAGTCACCATTTTTAACCAGCCATACCCATATGTCAAAGAGCACAGAACAAAGGTATTGCTGGCATATTACACTAAAGCCATAAGTAAGTGTTGATTAAAAAACCAACACAAAAAATTCTAGAAGTAAAACTAGAGAGAAAACCCAGGTATCACACATTGTGGTTTACAGCTTTTAAAGAGGACAGATTGCTGAAGATAGTCAATTGTGACCAAGGATTGCATAACCCTCCAGGCACAAACATATTTTTCCCACCCAAATGAAACATAAAAAGCCTGACAGCACAGGAAATTATAAAAGTGGGTTTGTCCTTCAATTCCTATTGGCAAACAACATGTCCAGCAGTGTATCAAAATTAGGCTGTATTTCTGCTTTAAAATGTGCTCTGTGGCAGATACACCACCTTGGAGTTTGCTGTGAGAAACTGCAGTGCTCATTCAATTTCAGAAAAAGGAATGTGAGGGGAGGGGATGTAAAAACAATTCACACAACTTAATATCATAAATGTTGGATACCAATGTAGGAAGGGTTATCCTGGTTATCCAGCTGATACTTTATTAGTAGCCTGAAAATCCCCCTAAGGAAACAAAAAAACAAACAGGAATTCAAATCAAGAAAGTTTAACATCAAGAGAAAATAGGTAATAATAAAATGCACGAAGAATGTCTATATGTGGTCTGTTCCTTTCTCCAAGGAACACACTATCTTTGACTACTTATAAAGGAGTATTTGTGGCTGGTTGGGTTTTTTCCCCTGACTGCAAATTAGTCATTTTTTTTGGGGGGGGGGCGGGGAGGAGTCCGGTCGTGGGGCCTGAACTCTGGGCCTAGGCGCTGTCCCTCAGCCCTTCAGCTCAAGGCTAGCACTCTTATCACTTGAGCCACAGTGCCACTTCCAGCTTTTTTCTTTTTGCTTATGTGATGCTGAGGAATCGAATCCAGGGCTTCGAGCATGCAAGGCAAGTGCTCTACCACTGAGCCACCTTTCCAGCCCAAATTAGTCATTCTTTATAGAAAATTTGGATAACGCAATAATGTCTAAAAAGGAAAATCTCATTCTTACAACAACCACTAATACTATGATATTGAGACCCTATTGTATATACTGCTATAAAAAATCTTTGTGGAATGAGACAGTGTAGAAATACATAATCAAACACTTGCTGGGTGGCCTGGGAATGTGGCTTAGTGGTAGAATGTGTGCCTAGCATTCATGAAGTCCTGGGTTTGATTCCTCAGTACCATATAAACAAAAAAGGCAGAGTGGCACTGTGGCTCAGGTGGTAGAATACTAGCCTTGAGCAAAAGAAGCTCAGGGACAGTGCCTAGGTCTGAGTGCTCCAGGACTGGCAAAAAAACAAAACAAAAACAAATACTTGCTAGGTATTGGTGGCTCATGCCAGTAATCCTAGTTATTCAGGAGGCTGAGATCTGATTGATTACAGTTCAAAGCCTGCCCAAGCAGATAAATTTTCTTTTATTTCCAATTACCTAGTGAAAAGCTACAAGTGGATATGTGGCTCAAATGGCACCAGCCTTCAGCAAAAAAGCTAAGCAAGAGTGAGGTTCTATGGTCAAGTCTCAGTGCTAGTACCAAAAAGAAAAAAATCCCACATTTACTGTTAGACCATTTCAGACCTTACCTTTTCACTCACAAATTTTTACTGTTTCTTTAAAAACTTACTTCATGAGTTTTAATAGATGTGTAAGATGTATTACAAACATTTCCCTCTGGTTTTATGTTATTTTTCAATTTAGATGGCTTAAAATACTGGCTTTAATACTGTTTGTAGTATCTGGTGCTGGAGAAGGAATCAATTTGAATAACAAGGCTAGAAGGACTATAAGATTCCCTCACAAGTTCGTGGATTCTGGGCCTAGTGGCATATGGGTAGAATCCCAGCAAAACAGATGGATGCTGAGACAACACAGTTACACTGACTACTTGTGAGCTTGCGGCTAGCACAGATCACACAGCAGGACGTCTCACGCACACACACACACACAAAAGCCAAAAATATTAAACCTCCATATTTTCACTCTGCCTTATGCATTCTGGGCAGGCTGTATTTAATGATGATCCACAGAACAATTACTTTAATCTGAATGACTGCTTTGTATTCAGTAATGCTATTGATCTCTGTGCTGATTTATTTTTTCATTTTTTGCTGGTCCTAGGGCTTGAACCTAGGGCCTTGGTACCATTCCTGAGTTGCTGCATTTCCCCCCCCCCTCAAGGCTAGCACTCTACCAGTTGAGCCACAGCTTCACTTCCAGCTTTTTTTTTTTCCTAGTTTATTGGAGTTAAGAGTCTTACACACTTTCCTGCCCAGGCTTTGGATCTCAGCCTCCTAAATAGCTAGGATTACAGGTGAGAACCACCAGTGCCCCACTTTTGATTAAGATTTTGTGTGTGTGTGTGTGTGTGTGTGTGTGTGTGTGTTGTTGTGGGGCATGAACTGGGCTGGGCGCTGTCCCTCGGCTCTTCAGCTCAAGCAAGGCTAGTACTCTACCACTTGAGCCACAGCGCCACTTCCAGTTTTCTGAGTGGTTTGTTGGAGATAAGAGACTCAGAATTTCCTGCCCAAGCTGGCTTTGAACCATGATCCTCAGATCTCAGCCTCCTGAGTAGCTAGGATTACATGAGCCACGGATGCCTAGCTTGATTAAGATTTTTTTCTTTTTTTCTCTTTTTTTTTTTGTCGTGGGGCCTGAACTCTGGGCCTGGGCACTGTCCCTCAGCTCTTCATCTCAAGGCTAGTGCTCTACTACTTGAGCTACAGCACCACTGCTGGCTTTTTCTGCTTATGTGGTGCTGAGGAATTGAACCCAGGGCCTCAGGCATAAGGCAAGCACTCTACCATTAAGCCACCTTCCCAGCCCCTGGATTTATTTTTTTAAGCTAGGATCTTGCTATGTAGTCTAGGCTGGCTGTAAACACTCAATCTTCCTGTCTAAGCCTCCTGAGTGCTGGGATTATAAAATTAAGCCACTACACCTGGATGAATTACTTGGTTTTGATAGTATATGGTGGTTGTGTGAAATACTGTGAGCAGTAGTTAGTGAAAAAATTCATGAGACTTCCCTGTAAAGTAGCATCTTGCAAATCTGTAAATATTTCAAAAGGAAAAAATAGACACAGAACAGAAATTGCTAAATTAAAAAATGTTGTATTATACATTGCATATAATAAGATATATGATGTTATGTATATATGTGTGTATGTATTTGTATATATATACCTAAAGGTCCTTATGTATCCCCCCCATCCTCATGAAAATAATGATACTGTCATGTTATTAGATTTCATTCGGGATAGTGGTATCCTGATTATATATTTTTCATTTCCACATACTTTTTAACCTTTATTCATAATAATACGGAATTTGCATAGTACACAATATTGCTTTACATGATTATCCTGCTCTATCTACCATCTGTTCCAAAAATGCTGTTTGTCCAAAAATGTTAGTCACACACCAGTCACCCCACACAAACTGAATTTCTAGTTACAATGCTGCTTCATGACCCAGAATGTAGTTGGGGTATGGCTTCAACTCTGTTCACTGATTCATGATTCTGTTACATTCAAGTGAGTCAGTATATGTATGTTTGTGTGTACACACATTTGGTTATAATGGGTTTTAAACTTAAGTGTCTCATATTTCCTAGGCAGGTCTTTTACCTATTAAGCCACATCTTTTAGCTCTTTTTGCTTTAAGTTATCTATCAAATATGGTCTCATACATTTTGCCTAAAGTGGCTGACCCTGGACTATAATCATTCTACCTATGCCTCCCAAGTGCCTGGGACCACAGAAATGTTGATATTTTTGGAGCAGGCTTTTTTTTTGGGTCCGGTCATGGGGCCTGAACTCTGGGCCTGGGCGCTGTCCCTCAGCTCTTCAGCTCAAGGCTAGCGCTCTACCACTTGAGCCACAGCGCCACTTCCAGCTTTTTTCTTTTTGCTTATGTGGTGCTGAGGAATTGAACCCAGGCCTCAGGCATGCAAGGCAAGCGCTCTACCACTGAGCCACCTTCCCAGCCCTCGGCTTTTAATTTTTGTCTTATACGTATTTTCTATTATGCTATGTGTTTGGAGCAAAAGGGATGAATTTAAATGTAGAAAGTATTTTGCAAGAATGGGGGTATGATTCAAATGGTAGAGTGCCTACCTAGCAAGCATGAGGCTCTAAGTTCAAACTCCAGTACTGCCCCTGAAAAAGTATTTTGCCATCTTGCCTCATTGCTCTTTAAATATACTGTATTTTTTTGTGTGTGAGTTGGGAATTAAACCTAGGGCTTTATGCTTACATCCTAGGTAATCCTATACCATTGAACTATACCCATAGTCCTCAAGTGCATAGTTTTTCAAAAATAACTATGGCTTTCATTCTTACCTTGCATTAGGAGTAAGGCTCCGTAAGACATGAATCAGAGAACTAAGTGGTAGAGATCCAGACTGCTTAACCAGAAGAGAATTCTCATAGGAAGTTTCTTCACTATAAGGACTGTATGTAGTAGTTTCGTACCACAGCCAATTATAAAGACTCTGCTTTGCATGATCCCACACTATGGTATATGATCAACAAAAACAATTAAAAATTATTTTCATACTGTCATGTTACTAGATTTCCTTTCAGAAAAGACTGAGAAAATATCAAATTTTAAAAGATGAATCCCTGGTTTAATCCTCAGAACCACATTAGAAAAAGATAAAAAACATCCTAAACATTGTCATTTTTATCCCTTGCTATCCAAATCAGTAACTCACAATCTGCTTGCACTGTCAATCAAAATCTGAACTTTTATTTGTACATTATGTACAAATTAAGGTATCTATACTATCTATCATGGCATTCTTTTAAAGAATGATGTAACATTTTATTTTATACAATTATCATAAGGTTTGTGGATGAAGTTTATAAAATAAATGTTATAATACAAAGAGAAGAACGAAAGAAATAAAATAACATGTGGTCTCCTTCAGGTGCAAAATATGCTTTATTAGTATATGAAGCCTTCTTTTCTTTTCTTTCTTTTGGTCCGGTCATGGGGCCTGAACTCTGGGCCTGGGCGCTGTCCCTCAGCTATTCAGCTCAAGGCTAGCACTCTACCACTTGAGCCACAGCACCACTTCCGGCTTTTTTTTCTTTTTCCTTATGTGGTGCTGAGGAATCGAACCCAGAGCCTCAAGCATGCAAGGCAAGCGCTCTACCACTGAGCCACCTTCCCAGCCCCTGAAGCCTTATTTTCAAGAATTACTTTTTTTCTTTTTTTGTCAGTGGTGGCGCCTGAATTCTGGGCCTGGGCACTGTCCCTGCGCTCTTCAGCTCAAGGTAAGTGCTCTACCACTTGAGCCACAGTGCCACTTCCTGTTTTCTAGTGGTTAATTAGAGCTAACAATCTCATGGGGACTTTCCTACCTGAGCTGGCTTTGAACCAAGATCCTCAGATCTCAGCCTCCTAAGTAGCTAGGATTACAGGTGTGAGCCACTGATACCCGGGCTCAAGAATTACTTTTTACATCAAATTGAATTTTTGGCATACCATATGTTTAAACATCTGATAGAGGGAAAAGTATACTGAAAAACCATTAAAAAGGTCTCTTTCAAAACAAACAAACAACAAACAAAAACCCAGTAATATTGAACTTACTGAGAGGAGCATTGAGGTGATCAATAGATGCTATAAGGTGTATGTTGTGCAAAGATGACAACTGCCCGATAATTTGCTGGCTACTGTCTCCTCTCAACATTTGGCTATCCAAATTGTGGATAAGAAGGAAGAGTTCTAAAGAAGGATCTGAAAGGAACATGAATCCAATATTTAGTTTTAGTAAATATCTGTAAAGTCCTTACCACATGAATTACCTAGGTATTAAATATCAAAGTAAGCTGGGACTGGTGACTCATCCCTGGTATCCAAGCTACTGAAGAGGCTGAAACCTGGGGAATCATGGTTCCAAAAACAACGCAGGCAGAAAAGTCTGAGAGAATTCATCTCCAGTTAACCAGTAGAAAGCTGAGCTGAAGGTGTGACTGAAGAGGAAAAGAACCAGCTGTAACAAGCTGAGTAAACACGAGACCCTTGAGTCCAAGCCTTGGTAGTGGCAAAACAAAGACAAGTAATATAGGACAAAATAATGATAGCTAGCCAAGTGTGGTTGCAAATACATGCACTCCTAGCTACTCTAGAGGCTGAAGCCAGAGAATCACTTGAGCCCAGGAGTTTGAGGTCAGCTGAGCAGTATTATGCGATCCCATTTTTAGAAAAAAAAAAATGCTTAGAGGTATGCAATCTATTAGAAGATATATGTCATTTACTCATAAAGTAGGTAAGACATTATGGTTAGTGCTTAAACCAGATTCTAAAAAACAAGCAGTCTTAATAAACAAGACACATATAATAAATGAGACATGAACTGGTGCATGTTGCATTGTAAGGTAGGAAGGACACCATGAAGAGCTTCCATTAAGGGCTGGGAAGGTGGCTCAGTGGTAGAGTGCTTGCCTAGCATGCATGAAGCCCTGGGTTCGATTCCTCAGTACCACATAAACAGAAAAAGCTGGAAGTGGTGCTGTGGTTCAAGTGGTAGAGTGCTAGCCTTGAGCAAAAAAAAGAAGCTCAAAGACAGTGCCCAGGCCCTGAGTTCAAGCCCCAGAACTGGGGGAAAATTTTTTGATGGCTGCCAGTGGCTCATGCATGTAACACTAACTACTCAGGAGGCTGAGATCTGAGGATTAAAGTTGAAAGTCAGCCCAGGCAGGGCAGTCCATGAGACTTCTATTTCCAATTGACCACCAGGAAACCAAAAGTGTGCTGTGGCTCAAGTGGCAGAGTACTCGTCTTAAGCTGAAGAGCTCAGGGACAGCGCCCAGGCCCAGAGTTCAAGCCCCACAACTGATCAAAATTTTTCATTAAACAATGAGAGACTCATTAAAAAACACACACATGCCGGGCGCTGGTGGCTCACGCCTGTAATCCTAGCTACTCAGGAGGCTGAGATCTGAGGATCACGGTTCAAAGCCAGCCCGGGCAGGAGAGACCGTGAGACTCCTATCTCCAATAAACCACCAGAAAACCGGAAGTGGCGCTGTACCTCAAGTGGTAGAGCGCTCGCCTTGAGCTGAAGAGCTGAGGGACAGTGCCCAGGCCCAGAGTGCAAGCCCCACGACCGACAAAAAAAAAAAAAAAAACACACACACACATACACACACACCTGATTATCACAAAAGCCAAAGGAGACAAGAAAAAAGTATGGTATTGACTGCTTAAAGCATCAGAAAATTCAGGGAACTAAATATAGAAGTTAACGATGAAAGGATAGTGGATAGAGCTGTCAAAACCACTATAGATTAAATGAGCCACGGTCAATGAGCTTATTAGTAGGAAGAAATTACAAGTAATCAACAGCACACACTTCAGGTATATGAAGAAATACACAGTAAAAAATAGGTGGAAATGTTTTTTAAAAAACTCCTAATTTGGGGCTGGGAAGGTGGCTCAGTGGTAGAGTGCTTGCTTTGCATTCATGAAGCCCAGGGTTCGATTCTTCAGCACCACATAAGCAGAAAAAGCCAGAAGTGGAGCTGTGGCTCAAGTGGTAAAGCACTTGCCTTGAGCTGAAGAGCTGAGGTGAGGGACAGTACCCAGGCTTAGAGTTCTGGCCTCACAACTGACAAAAAAAAAAAAAAAAAAATCCTAAATTCTGAGGAAAAAAGGAAAATAGTATGGAGGGTAGCAGAATCAGGTGAATTTTCTTCTATGCATGTTTAAAAACCAAGTATTCTTAAGTCTCTCAGGAGACAGTTGAAAGGCAATCCTTTCAGAGAGTAAGTAAATTCTCTTCCATTGGAGGTGGACAGAACAGGAAAAACAACACAGACAATAGGATCTGAAAATACAGCATAGTGGTAGATCACTTGCCTGCCATGCTAGGTTCAATACCTAGCATGACAAAAACAAACAAAAAACTATATAGTGACAACAGTCTGAGAAAAATTCCAGATCCCTTATCAATGACACTGACTCAGTGACTCAAGTATCTATTTTAACAATAGTATAAGCAATCTTTCTTGGCTGTCTTACAAGATCTGTGGTAAAAGGATAAAAATTAGTTTTTGTTATTTTGCAAGTGGGACAACATTTTGATATTAAAACAGATGTTATAAACCCAACAAACAGCCCAGAAAATTAAGACAAAATTATTATAGGGAGCAACATATTCTAGCAATTGACTTTTAAAATAAGGCTGAAAGCTAGGCACCAGTGGCTCATGCTTGTAATCCTAGCTACTCAGGAGACTGAGATCAAAGCCAGCCCAGGCAGAAAAGTTGATGGACTATTATCTTCAATTAACTACCAAAGCAGCAAGAAGTGCAGCTGTAACTCAAGTGGTAGAGTGTGAGCCTTGAACATAAAAGCTCAGGTACAGAGCCTAGGCCTTAAGTTCAAGCCCAAGGACCCGAAGAATGAAAGAAAGAAAAGGAAGGAAGAAAGGAAAGAAAGGAAGAAAGGAAGGGAAGGAAGGAAGGAAGGAAGGAAGGAAGGAAGGAAGGAAGGAAGGAAGGAAGGAAGGAAGGAAGGAAGGAAGGAAGGAAGGAAGGAAGGAAGAAGGAAGGAAGGAAGGAAGGAAGGGGCTGAAAGAACTGAAACAAACTAAACAGACTTTGTTTATGCTATAAACTTTTAAGAAATGTTTGTATAAATGGTTAATTTGGGGTTTCGGGGCAATACATATTTTACTCTTGTTCTAAGAACAAGCAAAATTAGTGAATATTGTTTTTAGAAAACAAATACAGGGTTAGCATCCTGTGAGCTGTGCTCACAGTATTTTTAGCAACCAATCAATAAGTAACTGTATTATGGTTCTGTTTAAAGGTGCCTCTCCTTTTATTTATTTATTTGTTTATTTTTGTTGTTGTTGTTAGTCCAGGATGACTTCAAACTGAATGAATCCTCCTGCCTTCATCTTCCAAGTGCTGGGCTTATAGGCATATGCTGCCATGATGCCCAGCTACACTTTTATTTTAGTAAACATTGATGATCCTCTAACTCAAAGGAATAACCAAAGGAACTTTATATAACACAGGCTAATTTTTTTCTCAAAGGCACCTAATAGCTTCCTTGTGTTTAGGAACACTGGTGTGTTTCACATATGATTGGGAGCTATATTAAAATCCAAACATCACCAAATAACAAATGTAAAAAATGAGACACTGTAGAGACTGCAAAAAAGACATTTGGATTGCAGTGGAAGAGTTGAAACAACATCAAACGCTTCCTTGTGTGACTCCAGCAGGCAATGTGTACACTCAAATTTTTGTGCTCTCTGTCATGTCCACACAGGATGGCCATAATGACAAAAACACTGGTCGGGAGAGGTTACACATAAGTGTTAGTGAGTATATTTTAAAATACACTTGGCCCTCTTTACCTCCCTGTTTCAAATAAGCAGAACTGTTAGATGAAAAATTGTACATGTATAGACATGCTCGTGCCAATGTATTACAGCCTTAGTATCCTTAGATCCAAGGAGACTTTCATCTGGGATAAATCAGGAATACTCAGGATGCATTGAATCAATGCTGAGCTGTAGATGCTTGATTCATTTTTCCCATATTGCAACCCAACTTCCTCTAAAAACATGCTGACTTTCAGCCAGGCGCCAGTGGCTCACGCCTATAATCCTAGCTACTCAGGAGGCTGAGATCTGAAGATCGAGGTTCAAAGCCAGCCAGGGCAGGAAAGTTCCTGAGACTCTTATCTCCAATAAACCGCTAGAAAACTGGAAGTGGTGCTGTGGCTCAAGTGGTAGAGTGCTCGCCTTGAGCTGAAGAGCACAAGGACGGCGCCCAAGCCCAGAGTTCAAGCCCCATGACCAACAAAAACAAAAAACAAACAAACAAAAAAAAAACATGCTGACTTTCAACAAGTCTCAGTTTATCACTTCAATCATGCACATTAACTTTTACCTTGCTTTTGGGATACCATTCGTATTTTGGGAGATATAGTTTCACAAAAGGGCAAGCAAACACTTTGCAGATCATACACAGCACTGACTGAGGCCATCCATCTCTGCATCAACTGAGCTGCATAATGCACAAGTGGGAATTTAGATTTTTTGTTTTGGCTAGGTGCTAGTGGCTCATCCTGTAATCTTAGCTACTTTAGCGGGTGGGATCTGAGAATCACTGTTCAAAACCAGCTGAGGCAGGAAAGGCCATGAGACTCATCTCCAATTAACCACCAGAGAACTGGAAGTGAAGTTGTGGCTCAAAGTGATAGAGCACTAGCCTTGAGCAAAAAAAAAAACCTCAAGGACAGTGCCCAGGCCCTGAATTCAGACTCCATGATCCACAAAAATAAAAAATAAAATAAATGGAACAAAATTTTTGTTCAAGAAACTTTTCTTTTTACCTCACTATTATTTTTTGACCATCTTTTAAAAAAAATACAATGGTTAAATCGCATATAACAATTTGGCCAATAAAGCAGGTTTAACTGTATTCTGTAAGTTCAGTATAACTATCTATGCAATTTACATTTACAATATTTTAGATAATACAAGTAATCTAGAGATGACTTAAAGTATACTGGAGGATCTATATTGGCAATATGCAAATGTGCTGTTTTATATAAGAAACTTGAACATATGTGTGCATTGGAACCCATGGGAGATCCCCTTGAATACTAAGGATCCACTGCACAGAATTTTTATCCTTATTTTCAAATGTGTCTAGTTGGTCTAAGCATGTATGTGTATGTGTATGTGTGTATATGCTTGTGGCACTGGTCCTGGGGCTTGAACTCAGGGCCTTGGTGCAGTCCCTGAGTTTTTTTTTGCTAAAAGCTCAGGGACTGGCTCTGCTATTTAAGCCACAGCTCCACTTCCTGACTTATTTTGGTGCTTACATGGAGATAAGAGTTTCATGGACTTTCCTACCCGGAATGGCTTTGAACTGTAAGCTGCAGATCTCAGCCTCCTGAGTAGCTATGATTATGAATGTAAATTTTCAGCATCTATGAAAACTGTAAGTAAAATGAGCCTGACAGGAAGAAATTTGGAATAAAACTTTTTCAGATAAGAAAAATAAAAGGGAAGGGAAAATTCATTATTGGCAAGATAAACAAAAGTGCTATGAAAATAGAACTAGAACTACACTGTTAGACTAAAACGAAACTTATCCATGAAATTTATCCATGAACTCAATATCAATTAGTCATTTTAACTCTTTCTTTTTCATTGTCAGCTATGAGGCTTGAACTTGGGACCTGGGCACTATCCCTGAGCTCTTTTGCTCAAAGCCAGTGCTCTGCCACTTTTGAGCCAAAGGCCCATTTCTGGGGGGTTTTTTGGTGGTTAATTGGAGATAAGAGTCTCACAGACTTTCTTGCATCAGCTAGCTTTGAACAATGATCCTCAGATCTCAGCCTCTATGTGGCTAGGATTACAGGTATGAGCCACCAGCACCCAGCTTTGTCCTTTTAATTCTTAAGAATTAAGTGACAACTACTATGATTTTCAGAGCCTGACTAATCTCATTTTAAATTTTTTTCTTTTGAATTTTTTTTGGTACTGGGGCTTGAACTCACCTGATTCTTATACTCTCCACCAGCTTTCTGGCTCATTTCTGACACCCTTGAGCCATGCCTCAACTTCTGACTTTTTACTGGTTAATTAAAGGTAAGAGTCTCAGGGATTTATCTACCTAAACTGGCACTGAGTCTCAATTCTATGATCTCAACCTCTTGAAGAGGTAGGATTATAGGTGTGAGCTGCCATCACCTGGCTCGTTTCTAATATTTTGAAACAGTTACATAACTAAAATATTCACACCAAAAAAATAACTCCCAAAAAACCACACCTATCTTTGTTTTTCTATTCTACAGATCTTAGTACAGTATATAAATTATCTCAATACAGTGCTATTTACTCACAACAGAGACACAGAATGCTTTGTTCAATTTTTTTTTCTTGTGGTGCTGGGGACCAAACCTAGAGCCTTGAACATGGTAAGTAAATGCTCTATCACTGAGCAACACCTCAATCCTAGAAATGACAAAGTTTTACAAAAATATTAAACATAAAACTTCAGATAACGATATACCAATCAACTAGAGATACTTCAAAGTGACAGAACAAAACTCAAAAACAATTCTGAATCTTAAGAGAATAGAAGAAACACTTTTGGTTAAGTGACATTCACAGAACAAGTTCATAAAAAAGTAAAAAACACCATGAAATTGTAACCTCTCTGTACGGTATTTTCACAATTTAAAAAAAAGCCATTAAAAACAAACAAAAAAAAGTAAAAAACATTTTAGAGAAATCTAAATCAGCACTGATTTAAGTGTTCATATTAAAACAATCCAGATCTTCATATATAGTTACACAATTACATAGAAGAATGTTTAACTCCACTATGAAACTACAGATCACCTATTTTATATTACCTTCTTTAAATCTGTTTGTTATCCAGTCTAGCTGATCCAGTACACTTCGGAAGGTGCCCATATGATTGAGGACTTCCTGTGTTATAGAATTCAGGATCTACATCATCAAAGCACAAATACCAAATCAATCATAATTTATTCTGTAAATAGGATATATACAACCAGAAAATCAATCTTTTTTATAGAAAATTAAAGATTATAAATTGAAGATTATAAAGTTTGAAAAAAATCACTTAAAATTATTCTGGATACTTAATCAGATTTCATTGGGGGGGGGGGGTCCAAGGAAGCAGGGAAGAATAACAAAAGAGTAAAGATAATGTAAGGGGGCAACAAAAACAAAAATTATTAACAATGGAAAACATTAGAAAATTATGAATTTATCAAAGAATTCAAGATAAATACTAATGACACGAAAAACAGAATACTGTATTGACTAAACTATCATCCAAAAGCTTTAAATTAATTCTCAAATGATGAAGAAGAAATAAGAGCATTTAAATAAAAATGATCCACCAAAATTGTACTGTAGAACTACAGGCTATTATTTATACTTTTATGATTTTTAAAGTACCAAAGTGACATAAAAGTATGATAAAATTGCAAACCCCATAATCTTGTCCTTTAGGATATAGAAGGCCAAGAATATAATGTTACTTCCTTTAACATTTTTGGAACTTACTGATTTCACACCGATTCCAGGAAAGAAGCCATTGATGACAATATGAATGGAATTTTGCAGCACAGTAGTTCGAAATTTTTCTAGTAAATCTCTCTTAGAACCCAAACCATAAAGCACAATGTTGAACCCAAGGCTGTTAAGAAACACAGTATTTGTATTAAAACTTATTACCAATTTTATTATCAACCAATTTCTTTGAGTTTATAAAGATATAGAAAGGAGACCTTAAAAGAAAAATACAGAAAGAATGAAGCTATTTAAAATAACTAAATTACTGATTCCCAAGGCACTATTTTATTAACTATATGAAGATTTATAGTTCTCATTACCTTTTGAGTTCAAATGCCTGGAGATAAGATACTAATGTGGTTGAAAAAAGTAAAGCAGGGTTGAAACTGATAAATTGGAAAGGTATTAAACCATACTAAGATGTTAAGTGGCCTTTATTATAAGGATAATGAGCATTAAAAGTAAGATAGGGCTGGGAAGGTGGCTCAGTTGTAGAGCGCTTGCCTTGCATGCATGAGGCCCTGGGTTCGATTCCTCAACAGCACATAAGCAAAAAGAAAAAAGCTGGAAGTGGCGCTGTGGCTCAAGTGGGAGAGCGCTAGCCTTGAGCTGAAGAGCTGAGGGACAGTGCCCAGACTCAAAGTAGACTGGACCTCGCCCTCCCCCCTCCTCACCCCACTCCCCCCCCCCCCCCCCCCCCCGCAAAAAAAAAAAAAAAAAGTAACAAGTAAGGTGTTAACCAAAGTGTTTTCGGTAGGAAAGTAGCATGATTTTTTTTTTTTTTTGTCCGTCATGGGGCCTGAACTCTGGGCCTGAACTCTGGGCCTGCGTGCTATCCTTCAGCTATTCAACTCAAGGCAAGTGCTCAACCACTTGAGTCACACCACCACTTCCAGTTTTCTGGTAGGGAATTGGAGATAAGAGTCTCACGGCCTTTCCTGTCTGGGCTGGCTTTGAACCATGAACCTAAGATTTCAGCCTCCTGAGTACAAGCATGAGCTACCAACACACAGCTGCATCCGTTATTTTTATTATTATTTTTTTTTTTGGGTCCGGTCATGGGGCCTGAACTCTGGGCCTGGGCGCTGTCCCTCAGCTCTTCAGCTCAAGGCTAGAGCTCTACCACTTGAGCTATAGCGCCACTTCCGGCTTTTTTCTTTTTGCTTATGTGGTGCTGGGGAATCGAACCCAGGCCTCAGGCATGCAAGGCAAGCGCTCTACCACTGAGCCACCTTCCCAGCCCCTGCATCAGTTATTTTTAAAATAGGTTCTCTTTATGCCAGTGCTGGTGTGAACTCACCACCACACCCAGCCATTAGCTGAAATGGAGTCTCCGTAAGTTTTTTTTTTACCTTGAACTGTGATTCCCCCAATCTCTACCTCACAACTAGTGAGGATTTCAGGCGACAGCCACTACACTAAGCACATTCTTTGTAGGAAGATCACCTTGGCTGCTTTAAGGAATGGATAGGAAGGAAAACTAAATTCAGAATCAAAAATAAGATTCCCAATTCAGTGATGGGAAGAAAAATGTGATATATCAAAAGTTTTTCTTGAAGTTGTAGCTCAAATGGTAGAGCACTTCTAAGAAGCAAGAGGTGCTGAATTATAACCCCAGTATACCAAAAAACCAAAACAAAACAGTTAACTGTTTCCTGATATAGGCAAATACATAAATGAGGTGACTGAAATTCAGAGATAGAGTCAGGTGATTAATGTATTAAATGAACTTGACTTTATGTATGTTAAATTATCTATGTTGAAACATTTCAACATATACTTAGGCATTCATGTCTACTGCTAAGTCTGGGGTGGAGATTAGAGTTATGATAAGAGTTATCACATAAAATGACAACAGTAAATAAATACATATATAAACAAGTAAACTAAAAATAAAGAGCTACAGAAGGCAAGAAATTGATGAGATCACCAAGCTAAACTCAACTCCATGACTGTTTACAAAGTTCAGATATTGGTATTTCTGTGAAGCCTTTGTACCTATAGGATAGTCTAGGAATAGAAAAATGGGAAAGTGATAACTCTGAACAAGGGGTTAGGCAAGGTAAAGTATCAAAAAGAGGAAAGGAATTCAGAAAGCTAGCAACCAAACTGAAGTAGCTGACTCTAAGATGTAAAATGGGAAGCAAAGCAAGTCAAAACAATTCAATTTGGAAGAAGGAATAAATGGAAAACTAGGGAATGGAATTTGGGATTAAAGAGCTGCCACACAAACTTTAAATCTGAAATCCATTAGGTAGTTAATGAGAAAAGCTGAGGTTCTTGCAGGAAAGATAACTGCTCTCTTCCTAGTATAACCCTGGGGCATACTACCAACATAAAAGCAAGATCAGTTGAAATAACTGATTTCTATATTTCCTGTTCATGGACTTGCATTCTTATTTACTCGTCTCTGTAACTGTGAGTGTGAGGATATATTTATATTAGGGTACACTAGAATATTTCCGTATGTTATGCCCTTTTTTATGTAAGTAAAAAAGTATTATGATTTGATTTTTTTTCTTTTGCCAGTCCTGGGGCTTGCACTCAGGGCTTGCCACTGTTCCTGAACTTCTTTTATTCAAGGCTAGCACTCTACCACTTGAGCCACAGCACCACTTCCAGCTTTTTCTGATAAGTTTACTGGAGATAAAAGAGTCTCCTAGATGTTTATGCCCAGGCTGGCTTCAAACCACAATCCTCAGATCTCAGCTTCTTAAGTAGCTAGGATTACAGGTGTGAGGGTGCCTGGCCTGTGATTTGATTTTAATCACTCTTCCAGGCACTTTTTGCAAACAAATTTTAATCTGAGGTACCCTCCAAAGATATAAAATTGAATATTCTAATAAACAATTTTAAAATGCAGAATGTTTACAAGAGGAAAAAAAATCTCATGGAATTCTCAAAGTATATGCATATAAAATTACATTAAGAGAAAGTAAATATGCCTAGACTGGGGCATCAAGAGGCAGACTGCTAGCTCAGAAAGTGGGAGGTTCTGAGTTTAAAAAAAGTAACATAGGGCTGGGAAGGTGGCTCAGTGGTAGAGTGCTTGCCTCGCATGCATGAGGCCCTGGGTCAGATTCCTCAGCACCATATAAGCAGAAAAAGCTGGAAGTGGCACTGTGGCTCTAGTTGTAGAGCACTAGCCTTGAGCTGAAGAGCTCAGGGAAGCACTCAGGCCCAGAGTTCAGGCGCCACGACTGGCAAAAAAAAAAAAAAAAGTAATGTAGTAATATGTATTAGTTCATTTTAGAAACTTCTCTGTGGATAACTGAATTAAAATCTAATTGGTAATATTTATTAATTTGTGTGTATGTGTGTATATGTATGTGTGCATGCATGCATATGCATATACATGAGTTAGTACTGTGGCTTGAACTCAGGGTCTGGATTGTCTCTTAATTTCTTCAATCAAGGCTGGTATTCTACATCACTTAAGCCATAGTTCTTATGAATTTCTGGTGGCTATCTGGAGATAAGAGCCTTCTCAGGCTGGCTTTGAACCTTGATCCCCATATCTCAGTCTCCAAAGTACCTAGGATTATAGGCATGAGCCACCAATGCCTGGCATATTAATCTTTTTTCTTTCTTTCATTTTTTTTGTCAGTCATGGGGCTTCTGGGCTTCGGCTGTCCCTCAGCTCTTCAGCTCAAGGCTAGCACTCTACCACTTGAGGCGCAGCGCCACTTCCAGCTTTTTCTGTTTATGTGGTGCTGAGGAATTGAACTCAGGGCCTCGTGCATGCAAGGCAAGCACTCTACCACTGAGCCAACCTTCCCAGCCTGGTATTAATCTTTACAAAACCAAAACTATACAGTTTCTGAGAAGAGTTATAAAAAGAGACTTGGGAAAATCTACTCAGTTAATTTTGAAGTTTACTACTGAGAGAAAACTTTATTAAACTATTTGGTTTCACATAAAGACACATATTATTCTCTATTTTAGAAGGGTTTGCAATGATAATAATACTTACTGTAACTGCAGCATCCACTTGTGAAATAATTTTTCATGTTGTTGATTTAATTGTTTAATTTCAGCAGAAAAGGAAGGAGAAAACTTGCTCAATAAGTTACGCAGAGTTTGCTTAAAAAAAGAAAATAGAAATCATTCTCAAAACAAGTACATCATATCAACCTCCTTAGAGGCTGAGGTAAGAAGAAGCTGAGCACATGTGAAACTCTGGGTTTATATCCCATTACAACAATAATAACCACAACACATACAAAAAAAAAAATCAAACCTACAAATCTGAAAAAAATGTAAAAGCTTAAAGGTTAATTTTTTAGTGTTTGAACTTAGGACCTCACATTTGCTTCACTGGCACTCTATTGCTGAACCACCCACCACCAATTCCATTTTTATATAGTGGGTTTTTTGTTTTTGTTTTTTTTAAAGGGGCTGGGAAGGTGGCTCAGTGGTAGAGCACTTGCCTTGCATGCATGAGGCCCTGGGTTCGATTCCTCAGCACCACATAAGCAAAAAAAAAAAAAAGCTGGAAGTGGCGCTGTGGCTCAAGTGGTAGAGCGCTAGCCTTGAGCTGAAGAGCTGAGGGACAGCGCCCAGGCCCAGAGTTCAGGCCCCACAACTGGACCCCCCCCCCCAAATAAAAGAACTGGGGGACAGCGTCGAGCCGCCCCTTTCCTGTTTTTTTTTTTAAAGATAGGGTCTTGCCAGGTTCTGGTGGCTCACACCTATAATCCTAACTACTCAGGAGGCTGAGATCTGAAGCCTACTCAGGCAGGAAAGTCTATGAGATTCTTATCACCAATTAACCACCAGAAAACCAGAAATGGCACTGTGGACCAAAGTGGTAGAACGCTAGCCTTGAGCAAAAAAACCTTAAGGACAGCACCCAGGCCCTGAGTTCAAGCCTCATGACCATTTAAAAAAAAAAAAAAAAGCACAGGATCTCATTTCCTGTCTGGGTACACACCTGGACTGTGATCCTCCTGCTTTAGGTTTCCTATAGTTGCTGAGATCACAGGTGTACACCACTGCATACAGTTTCTCTCCATGAAGATTCAGTATCATGGACTTTTCTGTCCAGCCTGGCCTGGAACTGAGATCTTGACCTCAGCTTCATACATAACTTGGGAAGACAGACATATACCACTGTACCCAGCTATGGGTTGAAAAAGTCTTGTCTCAAATCATGATCCTCCCATGATTAGCGTTCTAAGTAATTAGCATTATAGATGTAAAACCAACAGTACTCAGTTTAACTCAATTTTTTTTTTAGGGGAGGGGTACCATTCTGGGGTTTGAATTCAATCTTTTTTTTTTTTGGTCAGGGCTTCATGCATGCGGGGCAAGCACTCTTCCACTAAACCACCTTCCCAGCCCACACATTAATTACTAACAGTTCTTTTTTTTTTTTTTTTGTAGGTCATGGGGCTTGAACTCTGGGCTTGGGCGCTGTCCCTCAGCTCTTCAGCTCAAGGCGAGCGCTCTACCACTTGAGCTACAGGGCCACTTCTGGTTTTCTGGTAGTTTATTGGAGATAGGAGTCTCACGGTCTCTCCTGCCCGGGCTGGCTTTGAAGCGCGATCCTCAGATCTCAGCCTCCTGAGTAGCTAGGATTACAGGCGTGAGCCACCAGCGCCCGGCTTTTTTTTTTTTTTTTTTTTTTAACTGAGATTTATTTTCCATTTATTTTTCCACATAGATAATCTTGGTACAATTTTTTTGTTTTGTTTTTTGTTTTTGGGTCCAGTCATGGGGCCTGAACTCTAGGTCTGGGCGCTGTCCTTCAGCTCTTCAACTCAAGGTGAGTGCTCTACCACTTGAGCCACAGCACCACTTCCAGCTTTTTTTTTCTGCTTATGTGGTGCTGAGGAATGGAACCCAGGGCCATGCATGCAAGGCAAGCGCTCTACCACTGAGCCACCTTCCAAGCCCTCTTGGTACAATTAATGCCATGCCCAAAGAACATTTAATCCTCTGCCTTGGCAAAAAGAGAATTCAGAACTATGTATCAGTAACACTGCTAAGTAGTTTAGTGTTTAAAAATCTATCAACCTTTCTGATATTTAGAGACTTGAAAAAGCAGAGAAAGCACTAATATCATTTCTAGTTGTTCTTTATACTGAATTATCTAATCTTATTTACTTGAATATGAACTCTGGAATGATATTCTCTCTTTTTTTTTTTTGGGGGGGGGGGGGGAGGGTTCCGGTTGTGGGACCTGAACTCTGGGCCTGGGCACTGTCCCTCAGCTCTTCAGCTCAAGGCTAGTGCTCTACCACTTGAGCCACAGCGCCACTTCCAGCTTTTTTCTTTTTGCTTATGTGGTGCTGGGGAATCGAACCCAGGGCCTCAGGCATGCAAGGCAAGCGTTCTACCACTGAGCCACCTTTCCAGCCCCTGATATTCTCTTTTATGCATTTCCATTTCAAACATTTGTATTTATGGAGCTATCCTCAATATTTACCCACTCTTTGGTCCCTCGCACTAAATGGATTTACTTACTTCCCACTGACTTTCTTTTCAGCCATGAGATTTATTGTGGCCACAAGAATGAAGCAAAAGTAAGTGCCTGTGTTTCAAGCCTAGGCTTTAAGATGTCATGTGTTAACAAGGTGCAGGTGGCTCATGCTAATCCTGGTTACTCAGGAGGCTGAGATCTAAGGATTTCAAAGGTCCAAGCAGTCTAGGCAGGAAAGTCCATAAGACTCTATACCCAATTAACTAACAAAAATCCTAAACTTAAAAAGTGACTCAAGTGGTAGAATACGAGTATGAGGCCCCAAGTTTAAGCACCAATATCACACACAGACACAGAAACACACACACACACACACACACACACACACACACACACACACACACACACACACACACACACACACACACACACACACACACACACACACACACACACACACACACAGAGTCATATGTTTTCTCACTTCTCAAAAGCTTTAGCAACAAGAACATGCCTCAGTAGACCCCACAGATCCAATGAGGAAGAGAGAACAAGGAACAAATCCTACATCAGCCAACTTCCGAACATTAGAATAAATGCTTTATGACTTAATGTATTGGTAAGCTATGCTATGTCCACAATCAATAAAAGGCCTTCCCTTCCTTCATATGGCTAACAAGTATTGCTTTCATTTTGAGATTTTTGCCTGTATTTTGCCTATTTTGACCCTATTTTTCTACCTATATTTGCCTATTTTGACCCTAGATTCATTTACTCATCTTCCACTATGACAATATAAAAATGTATGCTCTAGACAAACATTAGTGTGATATTTTTTGTGTATGTGAACCAGTACTGAGGTCATGAACTCAGGGCTTGGGCGCTGTCTCCTAGATTTTTCCCCTCAAGGTTGGTGCTCTACCACGTGAACCAAATCTCCACTTCTGGATTTTATGATTATGATAAAAATTCTCTTGGATTTTTCTGTCCAGGCTGGCTTTGAACCATGATCCTAGGGCCTCACCCTCTTGAGTAGTTAGGATAACAGGTGTGAGTGACTGGCTCCTAGATCATTAGTGTCATTTTGTTCTTGGAACAACTTGGCTTTCTACCAGCATTTCTGATTTTTTTTTTTTTTGTCAGTTGTGGGGCTTGAACTCTGGGTCTGGGCACTGTGCCTGAGCTCTTCAGCTCAAGGTGAGCATTCTACCATTTGAGCCACAGCGTCACTTTTGGTTTTCTGGTGGTTAATTGGCGATAAGAGTCTCAGGGACTTTCCTGCCAGAGATGGTTTTGAACCGTGATCCTCAGATCTCAGCCTCTTGAGTAGCTAGGATTACAGCCATGAGCCACTGGCACCCAGCTTGATTTGTTTTTTTTAGCCAATGAACCAAGTGACACAACCTAATCACCAATAAAACACAGTAAGTCATAAAGCTTGACTGATTATTCTCTTTCTTATGTCTCAAAAACTGTCAAAAGTTCTATGCACTAAAACCTGCTTTGAAGAGTATAGGTTGAGACATCCCTAATCCAAAAATTGAAAATTTGGAATGTTCCAAAATCCAAAAATTCCTGTGCTGAAATAATGCCACAAGTGGAAAATTCCACACCTTATACCAAATAAAAAGAAAGCAAACTGAAAATATTATATAAATCTATATGCAGGGCTGGGAAGGTGGCTCAGTGGTAGAGCACTTGCCTTGCATGCTTGAGGCCCAGGGTCGATTCCTCAGCACCACATAAGCAGAAAAAAAAAAAAAAAAAAGCTGGAAGTGGCGCTGTGGCTCAAGTGGTAGAGCACTAGCCTTGAGCTGAAGAGCTGAGGGACAGCGCCCAGGCCCAGAGTTCAGGCCCCACGACCAGACCCCCCCCCCCAAAAAAAAATCTATATGCTCATGGTATATATAAAACATCAATGATTTTTTGTTTAGACTTGTACCTGGCTCATCCCCAACATATCTCATTATATATACAAATATTTTAAAATCTAAAAGCAAAAAATAAAAATCCATCCCATGGGGAAAAAGGAACCCCATAGCACTGCTGGTGAGAATGTAAACTAGTACAACCACTCAGGACAGCATTCTGGAGGTTCTTCAGAAGACTAAACACAAATCTTCCCTATCACCCAGCCATATAACCCCTGGGCATCTACCTAGAACATCACAAGCCAGAATACCATAAAGACACTTGCACATCCATGCTGCACTATTCACAAAAGTCAAGTTGTGGCAACAGCCCAGATAACCTATAATAGATAAGTGGATCCAAAAAAATGTGCTACCAATACACAACTGAATTTCACACAGGCGTTAAAAAGAATAATGTCATTTGCAGGGAAATGGATGGATCTAGAACGAATCATGTTAAGTAAGGTAAGCCATGCTCAGAGAGACAGACAGCACATGTTTTCTCTCTTGCAGACACTAGATCTAATATACAACAGAATATGGTAAATTCTACTCTAGACATTCACACATAGTGAGACCAAAGGATACCCTTAGGAGAGGAACACAAAGATGCAATGCCTATGCGCATTGGATCATATAAAATAGTATTTATCAAGGGCTGGGAAGGTGGCTCAGTGGTAGAGCGCTTGCCTTGCATGCCTGAGGCCCTGGGTTCAATTCCTCAGAACCACATAAGCAAAAGAAAAAAGCCAGAAGTGGCGCTGTGGCTCAAGTGGTAGAGCGCTAGCCTTGAGCTGAAGAGCTGAGGGACAGCGCCCAGGTCCAGAGTTCAGGCCCCATGACCGGACCCTCCCCCAAAAAAATAGTATTTATCAAAATAACTCCAGGACATGAAAACAGAGGGGTTTTTTCCTTTTTTCTTTCTTTTTATCTTGTTTCTTCATTTATCAGTCTTTGGGAAGGTAAGGAGTGGATGGCACAGAAATGGAGGGAAAAAGGGTGAACAAACGCAGCAGTGGCACTCATTAAACACTATGTTGAAAATCAACTCTACAACTTGCAGGTAGGAATGGGAGGGAAAAACTGGGAGAGTAAGGGAAGGGGTGACATTGTTTAAAAAAGAAGTGTACTCATTACCTGATTTATGAAACTGTATCCCTTCTGTACATCACCTTTATACTAATAAAAAAAAATCCAGCCCAAATCTGAAACACTTCTGGCCCCAAACATTTTACATAATGGATGATAAATCATAATAGTAAAATGTTGGTAATCTTTGAGTCAGTAGCAATCTCTTCTTGACTTAGATACTTTTTCACTCAGAGAGGTCTTAGGTAAAGTGTCCATCCAAACTCTACCAAGTGGGCTGGGAAGGTGGCTCAGTGGTAATGCCTTACATGCATGAAGCCCTGGTTTGGGTTCCTCAGCACCACATAAGCAGAAAAAGCCGGAAGTAGCACTGTGGCTCAAGTGGTAGAGTGCTAGCCTTGAGCTGGAGAGCTGAGGGACAGTGCCCAGGCCCAGAGTTCAAGTCCCACGACTGGCAAAAAAAAAAACAAACCAACCCTCTAACAAGTGTAGTTGTATGATATGTTTTTGTAAAATGAGCTACTAGATACATAGTACAAAGCAATCTTGTTGCCCTACTGCCTAGGCAACATTTCCATAGCATCATCAAGAACATCTGCTACTTTTTGAAAAGCTTTTAACAAAGAAAGTCAGGTTTCAGGCTTTATTTTTTAATAACCGTAAGGTTCAATGAATATGTGGGTAAAATGAATAACAGGAGACTAATGGTACATGGGCACCATCAAGGAAATATGAAGGTTATTAAAAATCTGGAAGAAATAAAACTATACTAAGAGAAAAAAATGTTTTATCAAATAAAATTTTACCCCCACAAATTATTTACCACTTAATAATAAATAAGCAATAATTACATTACATTAATTTATGTTTTATTTGGTCAAAGCAATAATTCTGCTTATATACACTTATGCTTGTTGCTAATGTAGTATATTTTATAGGCCATGAGAAAAATTTGAAAGTTACAGCTTTGTTACATACCTGATCCAATTTAGGTCTTTTTAGTTTCTGCAGCGTTTTATCTGAGGTTAAAACTTTTGAACTGCTATGAGCTTCAAAATATTCTTCCACTAAGTCACTCTGAAAGTAGACAGAAGAGTATAGTCAGCTCTAAAGAATCTCAAATAAGCTGAGCTCTGGTGGTTCACACCTGTAATCCTGGCTACTCAGGAGGCTGAGATCTGAGGATCGCAGTTCAAAGCCAGCCCAGGCAGAAAAGGCCCAAGAGACTTTTGTCTCCAATTAAGCACTCAAAAACCAGAAGTGGAGTTGTGGCTCAAGTGGTAAAGCACTAGCCTTGAGCACAAAGAGGCTTAGGGACAGTGACCACGCCCTGAATTCAAACCTAACAACTGACAAAAAAAAGTCTCTCAAGGGATTGGGAATGTGGCTTTGTGGTAGAGTGCTTGCGTAGAATGCCTGAGGCCCTGTATTTGAATCCTTGGTACCACATAAATAAAGTAAAAAAATTGAAAAAAGTCTCTCAAATATTTGTAATCCACCAAAATTAGACAGTGAGCTGGGCTCTGGTGGCTCATACCTATAATCTAAATTACTCGAAGGTCTGATGAGCATGGCTTTATGCCAACCCAAGCAGGAAAGTTAATGAGACTCTGATAATATTGGACATATGCAATTAATCAACAAAAAGCTGGAAGCAGAATTATGGCTCAAATGGTAGAATGCCAGCTTTGTACAGAAAAACTAAGGGACAACACCTAGGTCCTGAGTTCAAGCCCAAGCCCTAGTACTGATACACATGTGTGCACATGCACGTACACATACCCGATTGCGCACATACACTTTAGATACTGATATCAGTATAGAATAGCATATGTCAAATTCTTTGTTGTTGAGTTGGAGATTGTGTTTCAGTATGTTGCACAGGCTAGTCTCAAACTTGTGAGTTCAAGTGTCACTCTTTTTTTTTTTTTGTCAGTCATGGGGCTTGAATGTAGCATATATGCTGCTAAAGCTGTTCCAAAGCTTTATAGAAACACCAGGATAATTAGCCAGGCTACCTGCAATATTTTTTCAAACAGTTCAACAAGGATCAGTAGTCATATCATGTATTAGTTACACTGACCCAAACATATCAACAAAGTCAACAAAATTGTACAAAACCAGATAGGCTGAGAAGTCTTGCCATCAATTATCCAACTAATATTTAAAAGTTCATTGTTGTACAACTGAATTGGATTATCACGTTTAGTATATTATGGCACTGATTAATGAATATGGAAATAGATGAGGAGAGAAAGAAAACTCAAAGAGAAACAAACATGGGAATTTATAAGTAAGGATGAGAAAATCTAGAAAAGTGAAGAAAAAGACTATGTTAATCCATTTTGTAGCTTATTTTTAGTGTAGCCTATCTTACAGATATTATTAAAATCACTCTCATCTATGTGTATCTGATCATACAAAATAGGATGTATTGATATGACCTCCAGGAAATGGAAACAAGAGGTTTATTTTCTTGTTGTTGTTTTAATTTTCTTTTCTTTTTGTCTTATTTGTTCATCTATATGTTTTTGGGAGTGTAAGGAGAAGGACAGAAATGGAGACAAAGGATAAACAAATCACTAGATACTATGTTGAAAATGAACCATACAATTGATAGGTAGGAATTGGAGGGGAAACAGAGACAGTGACAGGGAAAAAGTGACAATGTCCAAAAAGAATGTACTCTTTACCTGCCTTATCTAACTACAACCCCTCTGTACATTACCATTATAATAATAACAAAAAACAATACAAACAAAAAAACAATAAATCACTCTTTTGCTTACTGTTTTCTCTCTCTTCATTTTCTTAGGAGGTGTTCCTTTGCAAACGGTTTCTGAAACTACTCTAGTCTGAGCTTGAAGCTTTTGGCAGAACATGACCGAATTAGTGTCTTCTTCACATTCCTTTGCAACGCCTTCACCGTCCTCCGAGTTGGAAGCAGAATAGTCACTTTCACTGTCAGAATTAGACTTTGACACTGTGGAAGAGAAAAGCAACTGGGAGATTTGACCGTTTGACAAAAGAGTCATAATGGAGTAACAAAGAGTGTGGGCTTAGACGTATGTCTTTTAATTCTAGTTTTGTCATTGTTTACTTAGAGCTACTTACACAAATTCTCTGAACACCATTTTCCTCATCTTATTAAATGAGGCTAGTTGGAGCTAATTTAATAAGCCCTTGGGAAGATTACATATATTGAAATATTCCTAAGGCAACTAATAAAACATGACATATAGGACCTGTAGTAGAAACTGTCAACCATACCTACTATTCATGCTCATTGGCCATGTGCCCACCCTACAGAGTAATTATGGTAATCATCTTTCCTCTCTGCTAGCCTTCCTTGCTATTAGGTTGGCTGTGTAACCAATGAGATTTGAAGGGAAATTTGTTGAAAGCTTCTGGGCAAGATTTTCTTCACTTATGGAAGGAAATCCCTTTTTTTATCCATAATTTAAAGCTACTGAAGTTATTCTTCAGTATGAGATATACAGACAAAAAATTAAATTGCTCAGTCGCTACATCAACCATGGAACTTGTACTTCTAGATTTTTGTAGTGACATAAGTTGCTTAAATGTCCACAGTTTAAGCCATTACTGTAGGATTTTCTATTGCTGTCTACCAAAAGTGTCATCCTAACTGGTACAGTATTCAATAAACAGAACTAGTATATACTATTAATATATACATATACTACTCCATACCATAATTGATTCAAGAACTATATTTTCAAGGAAATCACAAGCATTCTCACCGCCTAGTCAAAAACAATAAAGTTAGTTTTATACTTACCAAATAAAGATATAACCTATTTTATACTGAAGAGAAATGCAACTCAAGGAAAGCTACCTTTTTTTTCCTTTTTAAATGTGTGCTGGTTCTAGGGTTGAACTCAGAGGCTGGGTACTGTGCTTTTTTGCTCAAGGCTAGTGCTCTACCACTTGAAACACAAACTCCACTTCTGGCTTTCTGGTGGTTGATTGGAGATAAGAATCGCATAGACTTTCTTTCCTGGGCTACCTTCAAATCTCAGAGCCTCCTAAGTAGCTAGGATTACAGGTATGAATCACCAGCTTAAAGTTAGCTTTCAAAATATTAGTGAAATAACTTTAACCAAATCAGTACATTTATTTTTAATAATGGATGATTCCCAAAGCATTATACAAAGCCAACATACTACAAATACATAATTTTTTTTAAAAAGTCTTCATTTTGTAGTCCTACATAGATTAGTGGTTTCCAATTTGCACTGATGTTACTCATTGCGTATGCGTGGGTTAAGAGCAGCAGCAGATACCAGAAAACGTCTCTTATTTATATGTAGATGTAGGTATATATATTTGGCAGTGACTGAGAAGGAAGTATTTCCCTTCTTTCTAAAGAGCATTCTTCTTTGGAGTAAGGAGAAAATAGAGAAAATACAGGACACAAGCTATGTTTCAAATGAAATAGTAATAATGATAATTGCAATATATTACCTTTTATTACTTCTGATCATTCAGCATTATTGTTTTGATACTTATAAAAATGGAATATGAGCTCTATAAAATCCAAATTTTACAAAGCAAGAGTAAGAGTATGAAGACTATTCTAAATTAGATGACAGTTGTTACCAAACAACACCTAAAAAAAGGATTGGATCTTTCTGAAATATAAGAGCCAATAAGTCATTTGCCCTGAAACCAACTACTCAAACATTTGAAGCTATTTGTATCCTCCCAAAAGGCAAGATCCATGTCTCTGTATTTGACTTTCACTAGCATTTAGTACAATTCTGAATATTTTTTGTATTATAAAGCAAAAGAAACACTTCCAAGGTGTCTCAAAACAAACTAAAGTTATGTTATTTTGTTAGAGAGATATTTTAACTGAACTCAATATTCGCTCCATTCAATGTGAAAGGTGTTAAATTTTTTAATTAAAAATATTAAATAAAAGCCTACAGTCCTCCCCTTAAAGAATGTAGGAATTTGAGAACATGAACACATCTTTTCTTTCATGAAAAGAATAACAAGAATGACAACAAGCAATTATAATGATTATAACAATAAAAGACAGTAACTAACTTATCTGTTAGGCTTGTACCAAGATCCAAGTCTATATGGGGCATGTCTGATGTCCTTTACTTCAATTGGTCCTCAAAACAATTCTGGAATTGGTACCATTAATATGCCTAATGTACAGATGGAACAACTGAGGCACAGGGAGGACCTAGAAGTGGCAGGCCAAAGATTAAATTCTAAGCAGTTCAACAACCTGTGTACTTAACCATTGTGGACCCTAGTTCAAGGTTACTTTTATAAAGACTTCACATAAAAAGAAATACATACCTATTAATCTTTTTCTTAGATTATGAGGTGGTGTTGAGAGAAATTCCTTTTTGTCATTGTTCTGTTTAACAATAAAAAGCATAATAAACAAAAAATACTACAATGGAAGTTAATGACCTGTGAGAAAAAGGCTAACAAAGAAAAACATTTGCTTTCAATAGACAACATTAGAACTAGATGAGCCAATTTCTAAAACCAGAAGATGCCAAATGAATTTGCTGAAACAAAGTGTACAACAAAAACATTGTATAGAAAAGTATTTCTAGAAATTGAATTCCAGACATTTGTAAAGTAAGTGTGTACTTTTTTAACTTTCTACAAAATATGAAGTGTCACAGAAAACTTAAATATTACTAGAATTTTAACATATAAATCTGTCTACTATTTTGTATGTTAATTTCTCAGTCATGGGGCTTGAACTCAGGGCCTGGGCATTGTCTCTGGGCTCTTTTGTTCAAAGCAAGTGCTCTAACACTTTGACCATCAGCTGTACTTCTGGTCTTTAGGTGGTTAACTGGAGATAAGAGTCTTACAGATTTTCCTGGCTGGGCTAGCTTCAAATCTCCATCCTCCGATCTCAGCCTCCTGAGTAGCTAAGGCTGCAAGTATGAGCCACCAGTACCTGGCTTACACATTTCTTTTCTGTTTTTTTCTTTTTTTCCCTTTTTTGTTTTTGCCAGTCCTGGGGCTTGAACTCTGGGCCTATACATTGTCCATGAGCTTCTTTTAGCTCAAGGCTAGAATATTACTATTTGAGCCATAGCGCCACTTCTGGCATTTTCTGTGTATGTGGTACTGAGGAATCAAACCCAGGGCTTCATGCATGCAGGGCAAGCACTCTTCCACTAAACCACCTTCCCAGCCCACACATTACTAACAGTTCTTATAAAAATAAAAATATTGGGCTGGGAAGGTGGCTCAGTGGTAAAGCACTTGCCTTGCATGCTTGAAGCCCTAGGTTCGATTCCTCAGCACCACATAAGCAGAAAAAAAAAGCCAGAAGTGGCACTGTGGCTCAAGTAGTACTGAGTGCTAGCCTTGAGCTGAAGAGCTGAGGGACAGCGCCCAGGCTCTGAGTTCAGGCCCCTCGACCAGACCCTAAATAAATAAATAAATGTATTATTTGGGGATTCTTTTGTACTTAGGTCTGCAGTCTTACAATTTGGTGAACTCAAATTTCACATGAGTTGGTCTTTTACCAATGAAATTATAAAGTATATTATACTATGTTTCAACAATTTTTCTTGATGATTCTATGGGTTGAACTAGGATTTTTTGCCTGGTAAGAATATGTTCTACCACTGAGGTACATTACAGTTCCAGCCCATATAACAAACTCCTTTTCATCAAAATTCTTAAAGTTTTCTACATCTCTTCATTTTGATCCACTTTACACGTGTATATATAAAATTGAAAATTATTACAATGAAATAATATTTACCATACAGAAACTTTATACACTCTTATTGTCGGTCATGGGGCTTGAACTCTGGGCCTGAGCTCTGTCCCTCAGCTCTTCAGCTCAAGGCTAGCACTCTACCACTTGAGCTACAGCGCCACTTCCAGTTTCCTGGTGGTTTTTATTGGAAGTAAGAGTTTCACGAACTTTCCTGCCCTGGCTGGCTTTGAACTGTGATCCTCAGATCTTAGCCTCCTGAGTAGCTAGGATTACAGGTGTGAGCCACCGGTGCCCCGCTTATACTCTATTTCTTTATTTTCTTTTTTTGTTTTTGTTAGCAGTGGGGCTTGAAATCCAGGCCTGAGTATTGTCCCTGAGCTCTTCAGCTCAAAGTGAACACTCTACCACTTTGAGCCACAGCTCCACTTCCATTTTTCTGTTGTATTTTTAGAGATCAGAGTCTCATAGACTTTTCTTGCGGGGGCTAGCTTTGAAATGTGATCCACAGGGCTGGGAAGGTGACTCAGTGGTAGAGCACTTGTCTTGCATGCATGAGGTCCTGGGTTCGATTCCTCAGCACCATATAAGCAGGAAAAAAAAAAAGCCGAAAGGGCGCTGTGGCTCAAGTGGTAGAGTGCTAGCCTTGAGCTGAAGAGCTGAGGGACAGCGCCCAGGCCCAGAGTTCAGGCCCCAAGACCGGACCCAAAAAAAAAAAAAAGAAATATGATCCACAAATCTCAGTAGACAGGAGTAGATAGGAATACAGGTGTGAGCTACCAGTGCCTGCTTCTTCAGAATACAGGTATGTCCTACTAAACTGATTTGCAAATTCAGAATAAACATATCAAAATAAATTTTTGCCTTCAAAAATACTACTTCCTTGATTGCTGCTGGAAATTTCTGCCAACTTTGTACATTTACAGTATGTT